CCTGGCTCTATTGTGAATAATGTGGCAATAAATGTAGGAGTGAAGATATTTTTTCAACATATTGATTTCATTTTATTTGAATATACACCCATTGGTAGGAGTAACGAATTACATGGTAGTTCTGTTTTTAAGTTATTTGATGAATCTACACCTTGTTTTCCACAATGGCTGTATTAATTTACATTTCCACCAACAATGTGCAAAGGTCCCTTTTTCTCCATTTCATCACCAACACTTGTTACCTTTTATTATTTTCATGATAACCCTTGTATCACTTGTGAGATGATATTTCATTGTGGTTTAAGTTTGCATTTCACTAATAACTAGTGGTATTGTGTATTTTTTTATATCCTGCTTGATAGTTTTCACGTGATATTTTCCTGGTGTCTTCTCAAATTTCTTTTGCAATCTATATACATTCAATATGTTATTAGTCAATTTTGAGTGAAAATAATAATCTCTCCTTAATCAGTAAAATCAGCTTTTATTTTCTTTATCTAAAAATGAAGTGTCTTAAAATTACAGAACATACGTAATTTGTATACTCTATATTGCATTTATTTTATAACAAGACAATTAACGGAACCTGAGTCAAGGCATAGAGCAATATACTGTACATCTCAGATTTTATTAAACTCAGTAGACTCATTTAAATATTGTGGAAAGAACTGAGAAACAAAAGAAAACCACTGAAAATATTTAAACTATGTTGGCTAAGAGTGTGTATTTTAAAGGTCTCGCTACAGAAAATAAGTGAGGTGATAAGTGTGTGAATGAACTTGATTCAATCAGCCCACACTGCATACCTATGTCAAAACATTACATTGTACCCCATAAATAGGTATAGTTATATGTTAATTAAAATATTAATAAAAACTTTGTAATAGAGCTGATATTGAATTTGAGCATGCTTGATTTAGACTTTAAAATAATATCCATTTTGTTAATTTAATGTGATCATTGACTTTCCAAATATTTCCATCGATGTCTTCAGTTTTTTATCCCACCTGTAATGCCTATAGTCTAATATGTCTGTTTTCCTAAGGAGAACACTTGAATAGTTGGCGAGGGGTCATTTGAGGAAGACTGAGGCTATTTTGTACAATGAAACAGGGTTGTGATCTGAAGATAACACTTTCCTGAAATATATTGAAAAAATATCCAAATGATGGCAAAACTGGTCCATGTGTCTTATTTCTTAACAAAATACTTATTGATTATTAAGAACATTAAGTTTGAGGTAAAATGATCCTGCAGTGGAAATCAATCTCTGCAATATATTAGTTTCGTTAAATATAAAATAATATTAATTGTAGACCTCAGTTCATATGAATTTTAGAGATATAGGATATCCCAATCAGATAAGCAGTGGAGCACGGTAAGTCATAAACTGCGTGCTCAAATCTGGGCACTGCCATTTCAGATCTAAATAGTGACCTTGGGTATGATTTTGAAGGATTCTATGTTTTCATTTTCTTATTATAAAATGAGATAAATAATTGTACCTATACCTCATATGATTTTTTAAACATACAATGAATTAACATAAGTAAAGTGCTTAGAATAATAAGCACTCTGTAAATGTTGGGTACAAATATTAGCATTGTATCTGTCACCTAATAAGCACCAAAAATATTAGTTATCCTTAGTGAGTTTTCTGTCTACAGTCAATGACATCTTAAAACAATAAACTATACCAGAAAGGGCTGAAATGAAACAGTTTCTCTTCTTATCAGATCTTAACTTTAGAATTACTTGTCTGCTATGGTCCGTTCTGATAACTTCATCTGACTTCTTCTTCATCAAGCCTAGACGGTTTCTTCTGGATTTTAACTATTGCGCATGAACTTAACATCTTGCCTAGAAAGTCAATGATTTATTTATATATGAATATTTCCACTATTTACTAGTTTTTGTTACTTAATCTCTCGAAGATCGCTTCTGGCAAGAAGTCTCCCAGTAAATATTACAAAAATAATTTGCATTTATGTAGACCTTAACCGTATGTGTCAAGTGCTTCTCTATTCATGAGGTGAGGTCAGTAAGGTAGACTGTTTTCAAAGTCATGGTTTACAATAAAATTTTATGTTGCTTGATGGATAGCCTTATCAAGGCTTCTTGTAGGAATGATGAAAATATAAAAGTAAAAGGAAGCAACCTGAGAAGGCTATGTTTTGAGGCTGTGAAGGTTAAGAAAGTGTTTGTATTGTCTTGCAATTTTCCAGATTATAAAATGTAGGTTCAGTGAAATTCAGTGGCAAACTCAAAAGAGGCAGAGTTGAATTTTGGATACATGTCTGCTCACCTGGGCTTGTTATACTGCAGTGCTCATATTTGTCCTAAGTCCTTGGATATCTCTGCTCTGATGAGACAAGCATAGGAGTGAAATGTCAGGCCTGATAATGCACATGCTTATAATGATTCCCAAATTTGTGGGTAAATAAGGTTGGTTCAAAATTTTTGGGTGTACTTTGAAAATTTGAATTAAGTTCCATGAAAAGGAAACCTAAAAGAAATAACGATTACTGATAAAAGAAAAAACACAACTCATTTATATAACACTTTGCAGTTTATAAATCACTTTCTCAACCATCATCCGAATTGAATGTATTTCTTTACATAGCTGTGAAAGTTGCATTATTTGGAAGTCAAAACATTTCAAAATACTTGAAGGTTTATAGTTAACATGATTAATAGGTACTGTAGTGAGAAAATATTTATTCATGCATGTTTTAGTTCATTATTGATACTGTTCACAGAGGAGAAAAAGTAGAAACTACTTGGAATGACAGCCTAATATTGGAGCACATGAAACTGGAAGAATCCTTCTAGGCACCCATTCACTTAGCCTTTTTCCATGTATTTGAAGTTTTGAATGTGAAAGGGTCAAGTATGAATTGGCAGGGGGTGGGAAGGAATATGGAAAGATGACAGGAAGGAAGCAAGAAGTTATTGATGGAGTAGTGCTGTGTATTCTCAAGGTGGGGCTTAAGAAAAAAAGTTTATCATTCTTTTCCCTTTTCTATTCTGCTGTTTCTTGACATTCAAAAGAGTATGTCACCAATGGTTCTTTCTTGTGATGTACATTCTCAAACTTTGACTCTGTGACTATCACAGCCCTTCACCTAGAGAGTGCCAATTGTCATTATTCTGGGCAGTGGGGGAAATCATATTAGCTACTTTATCATAGAATCAGTGGAGAAAAGGGTCTTTTAAATGTCACCTTTCTCCCTGAACACATTCTCTTCTGTTCTTTTCTTCTCTCTTTTCTTTCATCTTTCTTGATCTCTGCTCCACACGTATTCTATTTCTTTATGATCAAAATTAAGGGGGACATTTAGTTGAAGTGCACAACTCTGAAAATAATTTGTTCATCCTTGACATCTTTCTTACACATTTGCAAAGGTTTTAATATTTCGCACTTCCTGCATTTGATCATCACTTCCAAGCATATGTTATGGCATGATTACTATGCATTTATTAATTCATTTTATCTTTATTACTACTTTGGTTTTTTTTTTTCTATTGACATGAATTTGATGACACATTTAGTGACTTGTTCAAGACTACCATGGTAGTAGTAGTGGATACCTGAAGAGTGTTGGAGTTAGGATCATGACTACTAAGAAAAATCCAATAAGACTAAGTTTCCTTATGTTAAGCTAAGCAGCAAGAACAGAGAGGCCATCTCTCCACTGGTGGAAAACTGGACTACAAAATGCTATTAATCTATCATTAGCCTTTGTAGCCTGTTGCAATGACAGAGACACCTAGCTATAGCCCAGGGGCATGAACTGTGTTGCTCATGGTGAATAAGCTGACCGTGGGCAACAGGTCAGCAAGGGGTTTTCTAGTTCAAGTAAGTATAAGGAGAAGCTATCATCAGTAATATTAGCATCTTGTTGGTTATATTAAATGACTGGATTTAATGCAATAAAAAGTCAAATTCAATGTATCAAACTCATTCTAGAGAAACACAGATTCATGCCTCTTAGAAAATAATTTTAATTGCAAACTAATACATGCTTATTAAAAAATTGAACATTACCAAGTTAGTAACAGTGAGTTTTCTCTTTCTCTCACCAAATCTCACTCCACAGAGGTAACTACAGTTATAGATTTTGTGATTATTCTTCTAGATATTTTCTGTGCATTCATAAACACACAAACACACACACATATATATATATTAGTAAGTATATATATTAGTAAGTACATATATGTGTGTATGTGTGAGTATACTGAACTTACTAATACGCAAACTTGCTTTTTCACTTAACATCTTATGAATATTTTTATCTATACTCACATATGTTTACCTATTTCACTTTAATTATTCTTCTCATTGATTCATTTAATCAATATACTATTGATGAATATGTAAATAACCTAGCTTTTATTGCTATTATTTCAAAGATGCAATAAACATCCCTCTACAACTACTTATTTTAATTCTGTGCATTTACCTGTAGGATGAATTCAGATAAGCAGAACTTGTGGCATAATGGTAATTCCCAATATCTTAAATATGTCCATGACTCCTTGAGACATTATTCTGGAGTTTAATTTGTGAAGCGGAAGCACACAATAACTGGTATTTTTATAATGAAGGTAATTTATTTAGCACCACAGTCAGACCAAACTTGCACCAAAAATGGTTTGGTTCTGTTTTCTCCTGGAGGTAAGACGTTCCACAGATCTTACATGGTGATTCTTGTCTCTGTGATACTAACAGAAAATAGTGTGTCCATCCAGGTCATGTGTATCTTAAAATTTCAACTATCCAAGAAGATGAGTGGTCAGCAATTGTGGTAGCTACAGTCATTTTTCCTCACTCACCAAAGTCCTAGACGCTTGTATCTTTGCAGCTTTGTGAATTATTTGAAAACTATGGTATCCCTGTCATCTTTTTCACAGACTTTATACCATGAACAGTGGATGTTTTTCTTACAATACATCATTTTACCCATTGAAATTATTGGTTTTATTTTCACTTTCAGGGCAGGAGGTGGACTTTACGGTATTGACAGCATGCCAGATCTCCGCAGAAAAAAGACTTTGCCTATTGTCCGAGATGTGGTAAGTTACAACTGTTTACTTCTCTTTGATTGCATGTGTGATTTTTTTTTCTTGCTAAAATGTAATATCCTTCTCATTCACTGTCTAGTCTGTAAATATTTCATGGAATAAAAGTATATGAGGCCAGATGCTACCTGCTGTTATATTTATTATTATTTCTTTAAAATCTATTACTTGGAGGAAATAACTCAAACCTTTTGATAGCTTTTGATATAAGTGGAAATTATAATTAAGTTAATATGACCCTGTAATTGGAGCAAAAAGAAATCACACAGCATGCCAAGCAAGCGAATAGGCTTTGATGTGTTTAGTGTTATGAATGACCAGAAGTTTAATTCACAGCGCTTGAGGCTTTATTTAAACTTCTTCACCTTAACACAGTGAACCTGAATACTTTATAAAGCAAGCAGATAACATTAATCAATTCTTTATTTTATTATATTAAAGTCAATTCTAGCTAAATTAATAAGCTCTTTTATTTAAAGAAAATCATGGTTCACTTTGGGAGGCCAAGGTGGATGGATCACGAGGTCAGGAGATCAAGACCATCTTGGCTAACATGGTGAAACCCCGTCTCTACTAAAAATACAAAAAATTAGCCGGGCGTGGTGGCGGGCGCCTGTAGTCTCAGCTACTCGGGAGGCTGAGGCAGGAGAATGGCATGAACTCAGGAGGTGGAGCTTGCAGTGAGCCGAGATCGTGCCACTGCTCCAGCCTGGGTGACAGAGCGAGACTCCATCTCAAAAATAAAAATAAAAAAGAAAAGAAAACCATGGTTTGCAAGTCATTAACATCATTATTACTTCTGATCATGACTCTGAATAAATCTGTTTCCTATATTGAAATATGCTGCCGCCACCTTGATAAATGCAAAGAATTGACCATGACCTGTATTAGATTGTAAAAAAAAAAAAAAAAAAATCATGAAAAAGTGTCTCTTCTGTCATCCAAAATGTCTTCACATTTTATACGCCTATTTTTAATATTATATGTGATATGAAAAACGTATTTCCCTCATAAAAAAGTAAATTTTTTCAGCAACAATTACATAATTTTTTATATCAGTAATTTTTAATTTTGCTAAGAAAGGCTTCATCTGAAGGCCACCACTTTAGTTTTAAAATATAATCCTGACTGAAAAGGTCTTATACTGGAAAGTATAACATGTCAGTACATTTAGCTCAGATTTCTGTCCTTACTGTGTGGAAATAATTGCAAAGTGTTAGGCTAATTTAACATTGTTATACTCTTTTCCTACCTTTCATGTGTCTAACTATTTACACTTTGTTTCCTCTCACTTCTGGAATCTTCAGGCCATGGTAAGTGCTTTTCTATTTATTTAATATTTTGCAGTCTTCTCAAACATACATTGCACTTAGTCATGGGGTAAAAGAGGGCAAGATAGAGAAATGAAAAGACAGACATACAAGAATAAGAAGTTTGTTCTACAAGAATTTAACATCCGGTTCATTTCTGAAAGAGAAAATTATGTATACAACAGGTGCAAACACAGACCAAAATAGGATACAAATGTAGTTTTAGGGAATATGTTTTTCAGAGATGAAAGATTTTCTTGGGTAAACTCTTGGAGGTAATTCTTCAAGGTAAATGTGGAGATGAGTGGAGAGTGACATTCTTACTCAGGTGTAGGCTGAATTTTATTTGAGTTAATGACTTTGCAACCCTGAGGAGATACGTATATAACCAGTTGGGTCTTGGGCGATCAAGAATGCACTATTCCACAATGATATCCCTTTGCTCCTAATAGGATATCAGTTTTAATATTCCCATATGGAACTTCTGATTTCCAACGTTTGCTATAGCACTGCTGAGTTTCTTGTAATTCATATATTTTGGGTAGGAGTAGGTAGTGGTGGTTATGGTTCTATTTTATGTGGTAAGGAAACTAAAGGGACTTGACTCTTATTTAAGATCACCCAAGTTACCAGCATCAAGTGAAAAAAATGAATCTGGATATAACAATTCTTAGCAAATTAAATGGGCACTTAGAAAAAATATCTTGAATAGATATGGAAGAATATTCTGGGGAACTATGAACAACTCAAGAACCATCTAATACTAATTATGATTAAGGGCCATCACCAAAGTCAGGCTGGCTCTCTACCAACGGTTACGTATTCCGAATGAATATATCACAACCACCTTGGGGAATAAGAAAGTTTGAGAAGCCTCTTGCCAGCCTGAGGTGCTTGAGGGGGCTAGACATCTTGAGGCTGGTCATCTTGCCTTTCTGGGCCTCACTTTCATCATCTATAAAATGTAGGGGCAGGGTTGATGAGCTGTGGGACCTTTCCAGTTTTAATATTGTAAGAGTCCATATTCTTTGTGAATCGACTGATTATCAAAATGGCAGGTCCTTACTAACTAAAATATGAACAGCGATAGCTGATACTCTTGCGTTTTCACCTTCTGCTGAGCAGTATAAGCATGTCAACCTCCCTATGTATTAATAAGTCATAATTCTGTTTGTTTTAGACCCTGGCTGCCAGGAAATCTGGACTCTCCCTGGCTATGGTGATTAGGACATCCCTAAATAATGAGGAACTGGTAAGTACAATGTCCATTACTAACTAGATATTCCTCATAACCACAAGGGAGAAACCGTTCTGCTTGAGCTACTCATCTGTGATGTTTAGTCCAGTGTTCCAGAAATAACTGGGAGCATGAGGAAAGCCTGACTTCAAACAAACTTCCTCAGGGCATCAGCCAATCATTTTCTTCCCCTCAAATATGCATGAACCTTCCTATCTTGACAAATGCTGTTCAATTCTAACATAGCTTCCCTGTTATTCTCCCTGTGGAAAAGTCCTACTGATTTTTTACATAGTTTAAGTTTTGCCTCTTTTACAAGGTTTTCCCCAAATATCTTCCTCCCTTCCAGCTGAATGATTAGTTTCCTCTTCGGGGCTTTTATAACTTTTTTTTTTTTTTTTTTTTTGTGTGACGGTGTCTCTCTCTGTTGCCAGGCTCGAGTGCAGTGACCCATCTTGGCTCTCTGCAACCTCTGCCTCATGGGTTAAAGTGATTCTTCTGCCTCAGCCTCCCTAGTAGCTGGGACCACAGGTGCATGCTACCAGCTAATTTTTGTATTTTTAGTAAAGATGGGGTTTCACCATGTTGGCCAGCATGGTCTCCATCTCTTGACCTTGTGATCTGCCTGCCTTGGCCTCCCAAAGTGCTGGGATTACAGGCCCGCACCCGGCCCTTTAATAGCATTTAATCATGACCTCCATATTGTCATATGATTACAAGTGAAGTCAGCTTGGTATGAGTCCCATCTGTGCCACTTAATGAGAATTATTATCTCCCACAAGTTATGTTACTTCTTCAAGCCTGAGTTCTCTCATCTACACAGTGAGGTGACAAGGAAACTGAGAGGATTAAAGAAGTAGATATATGCTTAACATTCAGCATAGCTTAACAATTAGTAAACATAGTAAACAATACATATAAGCTTCTGTTTTATTATTTTTATTACAACTATTTCGATTATTTTGCATACACCTTTTGTTTTAGACTCTGATATCCTTGAGGGTAGCACTGTAAGTTGTTTGTTGTTCTTGTTAAATGTTCCTACCACTATTGCTTAGCACACTGTCTGACATGAGGTAGATGTTTGTAAATTCTGATTGAATGAAAGAACCACGCTGACTAGAAGATGCAAGTAGGTTGTAATTATTTAGGTCAGGGATTCTTAAATCTGGCTCACTGGAACACTTGAGGGAGCTTTAAAACATACAGTGCTGGGGTCTTATTCTCAGTCACTCTGATTTAATTGGCTTCAGGTGCAGTTTGGGTCAAAGGGATTTTTAAAAAAATCCTTGTGTTTTGTACCTGGCATGTTCTGTTCTGGTAAATGTGTCTTGCACACTCTGCTGGGGATTTACTTGAGACAATTTATCTGTGTCCCTCCCTACACTTGGAAACTGATCTATCCTACCTCCCGAATTTTAGCAACTTTGTCATTCTTATAGAATAAAAATTCTGCCAAAAATATTATATTACTCATTTTGACTTTCTATAACTTAACATTTAAACACCATTTTTATGACTATATTTCTCATTCCCTTCCTTCTTCTTTCTCTCATTGTCATCTTTCATCCAAATGTCAGTCTTTCCTGGGTTTTTCCATTAGCAAGCTCCCCTACCCAGTATGTATCAGTAAAACAAAGCATATTCATTTGACTATCTGGAGGCTACAACAAGTTGATGCATTTTCTACTGTGCCACAGGAGAAAAAATGTAATTGCATTCTCGATTATTATTCTTTCTTTCTCCTCATTCTTTTTATGTATTTATTTTTTGCAGACAGAGTCTGGCTCTATCATCCAAGCTGGAGTGCAGTGGTATGGTGATAGCTCACTGCAGTCTCAACCTCCAGAGCTCACATGATCCTCTGGCCTCTGCCTTCTGGGTAGTTGAGGCTACAGGCATGTGCCACCACACTCAGCTAGTATTTTTAATTTTAGTTTTTAGAGACAGGGTCTTGCTATGTTGCCCAGGCTGGTCTCAAACTCCTGGGCTCAAGCAATTCTTCCACCTCTCAAAGTGCTGGGATTACAGACGTAAGCCACCATGGCCCCCACTTCCTTATTCTTATCCATTAGGTTTATGTGACCCTGTAATATTTTGAGTATAGTTTAGGCATAAGACAAAGCGGACATCCTCTGGTGTGGAGAAAGCTGCATATTGCTTGCTGAATCTCAAAGCATCTAGTCTTTTTTTTGAGTAAATAATACATGCTGAAGAATTTTATTGATAAACTTCTACAGTGTTCCTTTCCTATGTTTTAAAACATGGTATTTGATTTGTAAATTTCCTTTGACATTAGTATTTGAACTAATTCCTTTCACAAGTTAACAGGAAAGCATAGAAATTAGTGGAATGTGGAATGCTACTGTATTTTCTGAGTCCTGAACAGGGAACATATCCTCAATTTGAGGTTAAATTAGCTATTGATCTGCTTTCCAACAACTAAAAAATATCACCTTTACTCCTTTAGTTTCAGAAGACCTCAGTAAAGAACTCTGCGTTGGTGTTGAATGGATGAACAGAATCCATCCATTCCCTCTCAAATTCATAAAGCTCATTTCCCTGGGACTCGTGCCTCAAAAAGTAAATAAACTATGACTTCTGTACAACAGGCATATTAAATGTCACTCTTGACGAGCTGTCACATTCAGTCATTACACAGGCAACTAACATAAATGCTGGAGCAAATAATTTGCACTCCTTGGTGCTGAAAATCTTCCTAGGCACACTTGATATAAAAGCATAAAATATTTGCTTGTGTGTGAAGGGACATGGCTTGGTGATGTGGAAAACAACCAATAGTACCACTTCTATTTTAATTAAAGAAATGTACAGTTTGAAGCTCAGTCATCTCTTCCAAGGACAGAGCAGAATCTAATGCCTGATGCAGGATGACAGTGGGTCACCTAGCACTGCCTCCTCCGCTAACGCTCTGCTGGCCATGGGTGAAGCATCGCCAGTGCCTCCATCCATCACCAACTCCACCTTACCCACGAGGCGCTATGAGGACTGATCGAGAATCTCAGCTCAATAAGCTGTTAAGGATTATGATTTCAGAAAATTTCCATCTAGCTTCGTAACATAGGAAGGACCAACCAATCTAGTATCTAAATACCATAGCAGTAGTCTTCCTGGCACTCCACTATCCATCTCTGTGCTAGTTTCACAGACTGATAATTTCTTAGGTGTGAACCTGACAGTGGAGCAATCAAAGTAGATTCATTCGGTAATTCAATACATGCTTATTGACTGTCTGCTGTGTGTCGGGGGTTGTTTCAGACTGGAAATAAAGTAGGCAACAACTCAGCCAAAAATCTCTACTTTCATTAGGCTTACCAGACAGTGGGCGGAGGACTGAGATATTTAATTTTGTATCCACTGTTGCTACAAGTCACATGGAAGCTTCTAGTAGGCAAGAGTGTTCAAACCAAGATAGTCTCAGATGAGGTTTATGGGAAACCAGGTAGAGGGAGGAATGAAAATCACCAAGCATAAGAGGGATTCTGGAGCCCTCTTGGTTCTGTCTGGGTTGAAGGGCGTGTTGAGGCTGGCAGGCTTCTAGGAAGTGTCCATTCTCAGTAAGGGAAAGTTTGTCTAGGATTCACACTTAGTGAAAGGGACTGGCAAGAACTAGATGAGAGGTAATCAGGAGATCAAACCTGAGCCCTATTTCCAGCCTGACACTAGAAAGATAAAATAGAAGGCGAAAGCTGCTCAGAACACCTCTCTGAGACTTCCACTTCAACCAGAGCTGTAGGCTTACAGCACGCCCAGGTACTTCAGACCCCTACTCAGGAGCAGGAACCCTTTCAGGCCACCTGGATAAGCTTCGAAGTGAAAGGGGCCTGAATTAGAATCTCGACTCCACCTCTCACTAGCTTTGACTACTTGTTTCTTCTCAATATTCTGCACCTTCCTGAGACGACTTTGCTTCATCAATAAAATGAAAGTAATAAAAGTTACCTCACAGTTTGTGAGAATTAAAAGAAATAGCTTATGTAGAAAGCCCTTTGTTTAGTCAAACCCTTCGCATTCCTCCTTTTCTCTTTATACAGTGGCTGGCATGGCAGGTGGCCATCAGCGCAGTAGGGCAGGAACTTGTGATCGGGTCTGCAGAATACGTGCTGAATCAAATACCTCCCTGCCCTCTTTGTACCTGAGGGTCAATTTCCTTTCCAGGAAGTACTGACATGGAAGCCAGCAATAATGACACCAAAATAAAAATTATTTCTTGTCTACAAGTATTGCTGTTGGTTCCGTTATTCTTCATAAGCGTGGACTTCGGCTTGAGATCCAATGTGGGTCCAGCTCCACAATTTACCTGCTGTGGGGCCTGGGGCAAGTTATGGAAATGTTCATGTCCTTGATTTTCTTATATGTTTACTAATTATATCATATTTTTGCATCTACTTTGCATCATAAGGTAAAAATGGCTATGTTTTTCTGTGTCTTTGAACAATTTTGGCATCAATATTAAACTAGCTTAATAAGATAAGTGGGGGAGATTTCTTTTTTTTCCTTCTCCTGGATGTTTTCTATAAAATAAGTTCTGTATCTTGAAGGACTGGCAAAGCTTGTCCTCCAAAACCACCTGGATATGGTAGTTATTTTGAGAGTAATTTTTTGACTATCGAAGCAACTTATTTAATATAGTGATTATGTTCCTTAAGCATTCATTCTTGAGTTAGGCTAGACAATTCATACTTTTTTCAGTAAGTTGTCTTGTTTTTCTACATTTTTGAATTTAATATCATCAAATTGTTTATATGATTATATCATAATTTATATAAAAATGTGTGCCATTTTATCCTATTATTATTTATTTGTATTTTCTCTCTCTTTTGTAAACTCAAAACTGCAGGAAATTTCTCTGATTTTGCTTTGTTGACTCCATATTATCTCCTTGTTTTTTACTTCATTTATTTATGCTCTTGGTCATTTTTAGATTTTTTTTTATTCTTTGTATTCACCCCAAAACTACTTTTCTAAGTTATAGAGTTGAACATATAGTTATT